GGTATACATTTATTAGCAAAGCAAGTTCAAAATTCTTTCAAAAAAAAGAAAACATTGTCATGAGCTGCTTGTGTGGATGCAAATCCGTAGAGTACTTTTTTTAGGGTATGCCGTTTATGTCTACAATAAAGAAAGCTTGTCTTATGATTTTGAAGTATGCGATAGTGATATGGCTATGCTCTTTAACTGTAGAGATCTTTGATGTGCACTTAACAGGTGAAGTGTTGTGAGCTTGTCGCCAAAAAAAAACTTGGAAACTGTTTGACCTTTTTTTGGATGCATCGTCACGAAAAAATTCCTTAATGTAAACTTTTTCCAGAAAGAACTTTAACTTTGTAATGCTAATAATTTTCTACCCATAAATCCATTAGGTCCCGGTGATTGTTCCTGGTTTCTAATTCTCATTAGTGACAACGTTTTTTCTATCAGGTGTATACAGAGGGTTCATTAAGGTTTTGAACAGGAGGGCAACTGAGTTTGACACCCGGGCAAAGAATGGGCAGGGCCCGGAGAGCCTTGCCCCCTAGGGGGGTCCGGGGGCATGTTTCCCGGAAAATTTTGAAATTCTATAGTCGCAGGGATGTGTTTTCCTGCATTTTGAAGCTGCAGCAATGACTTTCAACAACCAAAAAAAGATAACTTTTCTAGACAATTTAATCATGATTTGATACCAATACCCACCGCACAAATTGGACTTTTTGGTTCTCTTTTAATAGCTCTGCTCATAATAATCTTTACTCAAAGTCACTGTCAGCATCTGAGCCGTAATCAGAGTCAGGGTCAGAGTCTACATCTTATCTTTAAAATTTCAATGACTAGACGGGAGGAGCATTGTTTTAACGTGAACACACCGAAAATTTATTCATTGGCGTAAACCATAAGACGAATAAAAAATCACGTTTCGCTTCATTGAACATGATGATTAAGCCATTCAGTATATACAGGCAAGTAAAAGGTTAAATCACAGAGAAGTCTACTCACCTCTTGGCCTTTTCTCTACTGGAGGCCCTTTGGTTGAAGCCGAAAAATAATCCGCTATCGAATGTGTTCTTTTCAGGGTTGCCATGCTCACGTGCTCGCAACACTGATACATTTCAGGTGGTCGTTTATAAAGCACAGTTCTTTTCGCAAAGTGTTATGGGGCGATTCTTGTTTTTAACACATTTAACGAACGAGGGGATTTTATTCCGCGTGTAATAAAGTGGAAATTGCCGGCAAAGTATGTTTTACATTCAATAAGAATCATCAAGAAAAGGGCACGATTGTAACTTAAAACTGTTTTTGATCGTTCCTTGTATTAAAAAGAAGTTCTTTGAGATAAAAAGCAGCCGGGCAAAGTCGTGTTCACAGCCGGTCAATTTGCCCAGTGCCCAGCCCTTAATGAACCCCCTGTGTATATAACAAGTACTGTTTAGAAATTATGATACTAGTATGATACATATATCTTATTGAATGGTTTAGCTTGTAGTATCATGGAATAATTTTACAAGTCATGCACTCTGTATTTTGGAGAACCTGCAGGGTGAGTCATAATACAAGAGACAAGTAAAAGTATCCCACAATATTACACACTAAACTGTCAAATAAGAGATTTATTATTCAACTCTATTGAGCTAAAAAAGACTACAGAACTCAGTAAATGTTCACAACTACTTTGTCATTACCACTATTAAATTTAATCTGCACTGGGTTCTTTGAAAAAATTGGGTTTGATTTAGAATATTGCAGTTAAAGCAGTCTATTACAATAATTTGTTAAAAATGGTTAACCAACTGCCTCACTTAAGTGGAAGGTGGGTGCCTGGGCTACCCAGGGGCTTCCACTGTGGCCAGCAAGCCCCTAGCCATGGCTGGCAAATGCCCGCAACCCAGCCATGAGCCCCCATTCCAGGCACCCATTACACTGATGAAACAGTGGAAGGAAGAAAAATAAAGGATGGGAGGGGGGGAGACGTTAAATGAACCGCTTCACGAACCACTGCACAAATGCTCAATGCTGAACTCACAGATTCTAGCAGTGTATTAATCTACCACATACCTTGTGAGTCTGCACTTATGGGATTGACCACTGGATTCCCGCTAAGCTCATGGGCCGCTTGACCACTAAGCTTGTGGATCTCTTGACCCCTAAACGTGTGGACCACTTAAATGCTAATCTTGTGAACTACT